ATATGACTGGAAAAAAAAAAACTTCCTACGGGGAGGGAAGAAAAAAACATGTGGGGGTTGAAAACATCGTGGTCAAAGGCAATGAGCGTCAAAGGGGCAATCAACTGCACCGCCTTCCTGCATCTGGACAGATACTGCAACACAGGAGACATAGCTGCGGCTGAGCTGTGACGTAACAGGTTACGGTCTCCTCTGGAAACGGGTGAAGCAGTCATCGTAGGAGTCACTGCAGGTTTCACTCAACCTGGGGCACGACATGCTGGTGCCCTCGAGTGAGGTGTCGACAAAACTCGGCAACTGGGCAGGACTTCTGGCAAGCGACTCAGGACACTTCTCGACTGGTACTGTCACTGGGCTGTCACTGCCGGCGAGCGTGGAGCGAGTTGTGGAGCGAGTCGTGGCAGAGACGACTGGGCGAAACATCTGGGAGTCATAACATCATACACCAGACTGCAGTGAGAGAGCTAGCAGTCAAAGTGACATCTTCTTTGTGCAGGCTGCTCACTGAAGCTTGTGACACGAGGCTGACACAGCGCCTGCCGACAGTGGCTAACTGCAGCTTGGCGAGTGTCATTTTCTCTCGGCAGTTGGAGTTATAGCAGAGGTTAGTCTAAGTGTCCCCAGACTTGTTTCTCTACATATAACTGCACTCTGAAGGTCTGGAGGTGAAGTGAAACAAATCTCGATGGGAATCGTAGCAGGTATGATTCTGCAGAACATCATGAGCGACGAGCATAAGAGCTTTCTGTACAAGAGGGCTCGTACGCTCAGGGCTGTCTGATAACAGCTGTCAAACACACTGGTCACACGGGTGACTTAGCATAATGGTGCTACTCAGGTCTGGCTCAGACCTCACTGGACACACGGAAACTTTACACACCCGCGGTACATGCGGTACAACATGGCTTAAACTAGCAAATGATGCTTTTCTGTGCACAAAACTGACACTAAGACATATACTAAAATGTGAGAACACTGACTGAGAGGAATTAATTAACACGACATATATCTTCTCTCAGTCTTCTCGACAATACTGAAATAATTACAGAACACTCGATGGTGACATCACGTGATGTCAGGCGTGATGTCGCGAGGTGACGTCAGCAGACATCTCGAGGTGACGTCAGGCAGACATCGTGATGTCATGAAGTCGGGCAGCAGCATCGGGTGACTTCATAGGAGTGATGCGGGCAGCAGACCACAGCATGAGGCCTGGGACATCTGGTAACTCACGTGACTTGTAGATACACGTGACATCGCCCACACCCACGTGACGTCGTGATCCACGTGGTGTCGTGATCTACGTGGCATGCTGATCTACGTGACTCGCTGATCTATATGGCTTGCTGATCTGCGTGGCATGCTGATCCACGTAGCTTCGAGTGGCCTCGGGCACTCGGATACACAGCTCTGGCAATGAATTTACAAACAGCAGAAAACACAGCAGAGGGAGTGAGTAGTGGCGAGTGGTGTATGGTAGTGAGGTGGCGAGGAGCGTGGATGAGTGTATGGCGAGGGAGCATCTGGCCATTCCTCCTCCTCCCACCCACAAACACAGGGAAACACACTGGACGCAGAAATCACCACGAAACTCACCTCTGGCTTGCTGAAACAGCTGTGCTGAGCTGAACAACAACAGCAACATACAAGTGACGCTGAACACGTGACTTGAGAAACAGCGTGGGACGCTGTAGCGTGGGGTCACTGGGACACCACTCACAATTCTAGGAGAAATTCGGCAAATTTCGGCTGGATCCTGCTTGTACCTGTGTCTGGATGCTCAAACGTGCAGACATGACATCAGGATAACTCGTTGAGAGACGGATGCTTCTTGCATGGGATGATGAAGTGAAGATGACTTCATCCCTCTTCCCTCTCTCAGGGTAAACAACTGCTGCGACCACCGCTTTCCACCATTTATAACGCGATTATTTGGTGTTCTCGTAGCGGGGAGTAAATGATACATCTTCGGAGGCTTCTTACTTTATTGTTAAGTCGTGGTGGGTACACAGGCTTGTGTGTTCTGCCCATGGCCCGGGCCGGGCCATCCCACGAGAGAGAGCTAGGAGTAGGCCTTGTGTCTTCCTGCTAGGCCGCTGTGTGAGTGAGAGTGAGGCAAGGGCAGACAGGCTGGCGTGCCCACCGAGAGCCCTGGCTACAGAGGGCAACACTTGAGTGGCGCGAAATATGACCTAAGCTGGCAGACAGCATGGGCTGTCTGTGCAGACAGTACAGGCTGCCTACATACTCTCGGCCACCTACCGCGTGTCGTCCCGACACGACAATACTGGTAGTAAAAGAAACTCGGTCTCTCTCTCTCGTAGGAACACGGCACAGAACAATAATTTATTTATTTATTTATTTATTTAATAATTTGAAACATACAT